ACAATGATAATCAAATATATAAAAGAGCTAGAAATAGAGTTTAGAAAACTTCTCAATAGATCAAGAGGTCGAGGGAGAATAGTTGGATGCTCAAACACCAATAGATGATTTCCTCAAGCTCTTGCGGAATTGATTTCACAAAGACAAACTCTCAATTTCTTAAAAGCTTTTTAAACAAACTTAAACCATTGATAAAACTCTTTTAAACTTGTTTTAAAACACTCTCATGGTTACCACTGGTAGTTGGGGATTTGAGGGTTTATATAGGAAGAGAAAACAACAACCAAAACCTAAATAAATCCAGCAACAATCTCCCGAATTCCAAGAAACGGATTCTGTAAAGAATTAGCCATTTGACAGGCTGTCAGTCGAATGACGGGCGGTGCTAGTCAACTGATAAGATGAACATCGTATTCAAATACGAGCTTATCAGTCGACTGCCAAATTTTTTCAGTCCACTACTAAATATTTTCAGTCGACTAAAAAACTTCAGTCGACTGGTCAGTCGATGGAAACAGAACAGAGAGAAAAATGAACATTCCAGGCACTTTCTTTCGTTGACTTATCAGTCGACTGACTTCATCAGTCGACTGATCGGTCGACTGATAACAGGTTATCAGCCTGACATGGTTTTGAAAGTGAGTTTCAATGCTCTGTAAAAATAGTAAATAAATTCTAAAAAATGTAAAACTTTAGAAAATGATTGTAGACATGATAATGAACATGCTACAAAGACTGGTTTTTTAAAAAGCTCTTCCCATTTATAAAATATCATTATTTTGCAAATAAGTTCAAAACATGAAAAATGTAAGCACATGAATTTTGACATTTTTGCTAAACCATGTTTTGAAGATTTACAAAATGATTTTGTAGACTTAATAAAATATGTATATGATTATAGTTAAGTCCAAAAACTGAGAATACAATATTTTCACAAAATTACATATTCTATGCAATATATTCTTAAACACAATAGAATACGAAACAAATGAAAATGTGAAAAACCTTGTTTGTTGTTTCATATCTATGTAGCTAAACCAAAACACAATAATAAATATAAAATATGTAATTTCATATTTGTAAACATGAAAACCAAAACTTGTGTTGTATATTGTGTGTGTGTGTATATATATATATATATATATATATACACACACACACACACACACACACACACACACACACACACACAAAGAAACCAATAAAATGTGTGTGTATAAATGATTGAGCTTAAAGTACTTAACACACATGATTGAGCTTAAAGTACTTAAGGTTAGTAATTCAGATGCACTTGTTATCATAGTGAGGACGATCCTTTGACAAGAAGAAAGACTAGATGTATGACTATTTATTAATAAAAATTCTTGTGTTCTAGCTATGATTGTTCTAAGTTATTGAATTCACTTTCTGTTTTGGTTACATTTGTTTTATTGCCACTGCATATTGCACGTAAAGTTTAACAAGAGTAGACAACCCTAATCACCTTCCTCTAGGCATGCATCTAGTTTCGATGGTCTCAGATCTTGGTGTTCTAATGTTATGCTCCAATCCTAGGACAGATGGCTAGTCTAGCCAATACTACCACTTTCCCCAAGGACACGCCACTAATTGATCCCTACTTTTTGATAGCATAAACTTTTCTTGTTGAAAAGCTTGTATGAATATTTTTATCTTTTTCAATAATTATGATACACATTGTTGAGACTGGTTGTGACAAACCCACTAGAACTACATAGAAACCACGGTTACTAAAAACAAGAATGAGTAGGATGATGTAGAGAAAAGTCATACTCATTGAATGTGGGTAATAACACTTAGATCCTAATCATTCTAAACATATGGTATATATATAGGGGGTTCCTTGTTTGGATTTTTTGCCCAACGTACTAATTCTGTTTAATTAGGGGTTAAGTGGGAGTATTTGCATTCTAGATGTTAAGTGTAAATATTGCTTGTGATCCTGATCTTGTGATTAATGGTTTGTGATGTGTACATGGAGGTTTCCTTGTTTGGATTATTCCCTCAATGTTCTTTTCTCATATTAATATCTAAGATACGATTGCAGAATTTCGAGGACAAAATTTTTTTAAGGGGGTGAATGTAAAACCCTGTAATTTTAAAAATATTATGATAAATAGTATTAAATAATTTTTAATATGAATGATACTATTCTGAGGTGAATGGGTATGGTAGTAATCGATTGGAGATAGATTAAGTACGTATATGAGTATATATGAGTACAAACATGGACATGTGCATGAAAACCTATTGACTGGATTTATTTCTGGTCGGTCGATTGATCAAGGGGGATCAGTCAATTGACGGGTGTACCCAGATCAGGTTTTAAGTAAGGTTGAATTTGAGCACAATTGCATATAATTTTCATGAAAAATTCCTCTCTTTGATCTAAATCTCTAAACCCTAGTAGCAGTCATCCTCTCTCTAAACCCTAACTCTCGATTGTGAGTCTGTTAGAGCTTTGTAAAGAAAATACCGAGAAGAGGGTGAGAACTATGATGTTTAGTAAAAGAGGATCATGTCTTTTCCATAGAGAGAGATCAAAATGAAATCAAAGGCAATAACACCTTTCTCCAAACTCATCCCTGTAAAATTTTAGATCTTTAATAAGTAGAATTTAAATATGATGTGTAATATTTAAATCCGATGCTTAAATCTTACTCTTTTCATGAGTAAATCTTAGATTTGATGATTAGAACTTAACCCAATGAAAAGATCTGTAGATTTAATCACAAATCAACAAGATTGCATGATCATTAGTTAAAACCTTAATTTATCAAATTAATTGAGAGTCTTGATGATTAGGATGTTGAAACCCTAGAATTATGAACCTAAGTGATCTGATCTTGTTTAGGCTAACTCATTGTTATGTAATTACGAAAGTTTAATCATGTTTTGCTTTACATGCTTACAAAATTCGATTTTGAGAAAAGTTGCAAAACACAGAAACCTATAAATATCCTATATCACTGCACATCGGTCGACCGCTCACATTGATCAGTCGACCGATAGTGATTTACAGGTCTTCGACATATATCTGGTCGGTCGACTGATCAGAAAGATCAGTTGACCGATAGACTGTTAGGTTTGAATGTTTATTTTTGTTCGGTCGACTGACTCCTGTCATTTCTCGACCAATAGTGGATTGTAGCGTTGTACATGTTGTGCACGTTCGTTGTTAGTTGATCGATGCTCAAGGGCAGTCGATCGACATGTTAAATTGCTGATGAAGGTTTTTTTCCTTTTCCATGCTTGTTTGGTTATGAACATAAGGTTCAAGCCGTACGTACACACAAGCGACCATGGATGTGCATGTATGGAGTTTTAGCACACATATATCTCTGGGAGAGGATAATTTTATGTATTATTTTGACCACGACTGGGAAACAGTTAGTTAAAATAGTATATATGTATGTTTGGATACCGTTGATGAGCACAACTCAGTACGGCTTAGGGTAGTGCGTCGGTATACCATTGAAGGAGGCTAGTGAGCCACATTTGCATGATACCTGAATAGATAGTTTGTTGCGTATAGTGATATGATGAGGCTAGTGAGCCGTATTTGTAGGATACCTGAATAGGCAGTTCATTCTGTATGGTGATGTGATGAGGCTAATGATCCGTACTTGTAGTACTTGTAGGTTGCCCGAAGAGGTAGTCCATTCCGCATGGTGATACGATGAGGCTAATGAGCCGTACTTGTAGGATGCCCAATGAGGTAGTCCATTCCACATGGTGATGTGATGAGGCTAGTGAGTTGTATTCTCTTAGGATGCCTGAACAGGTAGTTTGTTCCGCAAATTGATGCGATGAACTATAGAACTTTACAAGAGATAGTACTGTAAAACTTTTGACAGCTTGAGGCTTGGGCAGAAGTTAGTTATGGACATGGTTTACCGTAGATTTATATGGCGATGGGGTATATTGTATTGTGGGCTATACCAAATTATGTACTCGTATCTGTATAATCACTAGTACAAAACTGGTCTGCCCAAACGGTTGGAACCGTTTGGGAAAACCCCCTCCCAAACGGTTATAACCGTTTGGGTGAGAAAAAACACCCATTTGGGCTAAAGCCATTAGGGATAACTTTTCCCCAACGGTAGCCCAAACGGGTACACCCGTTTGGAACTAGTCCCAAACGGTTGAACCCGTTTGGAACTTGTCCCAAACGGGTACACCCGTTTGGGACCGCGATATATGCCAAACGGTTGCAACCGTTTGGCATATAATGCTATCCTAAACAGGTACACCCATTTGGGACCTCAGTATATGCCAAACGGTTGAAACTGTTTGGCATATATCGCGGTCCCAAACGGGTGTACCCGTTTGGGACAAGTATTTGGCCAAACAGTTTTAATCGTTTGGCCTATTAATTTTAATATTTTTTTTCATTTCATCTATTTTATTTATTTACCTGTTTACATTTAATATACATATTTTACACAATGAATCAAAAACATATACATACACAAAAATATCTCAAGCGATGCTAAATATTCAATACTATATATAAGTACACAATAATTACTCAATATGCAATATTAGAGATAAATGCACAATAATTACTCAATATCTCACAATGAAAAGCATCCAATATTATATATTTGTCTCTAATATCCAAAATGTCTCATACATCCAAAATATAAGATAGGAATAGTCTGATTCATCAAATCAAGGAACAGAAGAAATTCCTCGAAGAATATCCTCTTGGGACAAGCCCGAACGCCTTATGTCTGCAAATATCCTAGCAATATTCTCATGTGAAAAACCTTGAGCACTGGAAGTAGAAGTGTTTGCAGTCGAAGCAGGACGAGCAGAATGAGGTATATCGGTAGCGGGCTGATGAATTAGAGCCGGTCACGTAAAAGCTGATGGATCACTACGAGTGGGAGCAGAACAAGCGCCCTGAGAATTAACCTATAAAATAGTAGCAATGTATGAGTGTATACATGTCTGAGTATTAAGTCTGTGCATATGTTTACGTGTATAAGATGTATGCATATTTGTGCCAATGTACATGTGTATGCGAGAGTGTGTATGTACCATATTGTTAGTAATCAAATGCATCTGAGACCTAAATTCCTCCCTAAGCTCCTCCCTAATCTCCTCCCTGAGACTATCCATCTCAGCTAACCGAGCTCTAAGATCAGCCACCTCACGACGTAGCTCCTAATTAGAAGTGTCGATTTTCGGTATGGAGGACATCCTCAAGTAAGTCTGAGTGGCACCAATGCTCATGCCTCTTTCATAACCACCGTGATGCCCTCCGTGCAGGGAATCTAACATCTGGGTGAAACAAAGTGCATCGTCCTCTGTGGCTGAATCGACCCCTGATAAGGTTGCCTCCTGGATGACTCGATTCTAAACAATATAAAGTAGTCAACTGTAAGTTGACAATGCAAAAGTAGATATATTTAAGAAACAAATAAAAAAAATAAAAGTAAGATTATAGCATAAAAGCAATTCTATCCTTGATATGGATTATTGCAAAGGAAGTCTGGATGATTTACTAAAGGTATGATACGGAAATAAAATCAAATTGCATATATGTGACTATGATTAGTTTTTACATAGCAAGCGTTATTAAGTTCAAGTGATTGCAGAAGATTGATCACTGACATTATTGGCGACGTTGTTAACTTTTCTAAATAGTAAAGAGTGAATCAGGTGTTCTGCAGTAAATACATAGTAGTGTGTATCTGTTGTGTATCAGCAGATACACACTGTAGATACACAGCACCAGATACACACTACTGTGTATCTGCTGCAGATACACAGCAGTGTATCTGCTGCAGATACACAGCAGTGTATCTGCAGATACGCAGCAGATACACACTGTTGTGTATCTGTAGTGTGTATCTGCTGCAGATACATAGCTGTGTATCTGTAGCAGATACACACTGCTCTCTCGTAAATTTTAGAGACGGTTTCTAGTAACACGCCCCACCCCCACCCCCCACACCACACACACACATTTTTCTTTTTTCTTCTTTAGTTTTAAGGGGATATATGAAGGGTACATGTGTTTCTTCAAAGTGATTGTAGTACCATTGGAAAGAATAAAAATGCAATAGAGGGAAGTTCCTCCTCCGTTTCATTAGTTAAACTCAAGAACTCGCAAGAAACTCTCTCTCGCGATCTCACGAAAGATCCTCACAAGACCCCCTAACATTTTTCCTTCCTTGTTACTTCTCTAGAACTCTATTCAACGCTTCACAATTTGCGGCTTTTCTTAGGTCTCTCTTCCAAACCATAGACCCGGAGGACCCGTATGTATAGGTTTAAACCCGAATACAAAATTTAAACGGGATTCCTGACCGGAGCAAAAATATGTACAACTAAAGAAACACAGCAGTGTGTATCTGCGGTGTATCTGCTGCAGATACACAGCAGTGTATCTGTAGTAGATACACAGCTGTGTGTATCTGCAGATACACAGTAGTGTGTATCTAATAGGTATCTACAGATACACACAGCTGTGTATCTTCTACAGATACACTGCTGTGTATCTATAGCAGATACACAGCAGTGTATCTGCAGTAGATACACACTGCAGATACACAACAGTGTGTATCTGTAGATACACACAGCAGAGAGTTGCTTATATTTACCTATTGATTAGGAAAAGTGTCATTTTGACAACAATAGCAGAGAGTCTAGAGCTTGAAGTGTACTATTAAACTTAGAAGTGAATTACCGGAGAAGTGAACTGCAAATATCCTAATTTAACAAAATTGCTGCTACAGAACAATAATAGACGCGGCGATGCAATCGTTAATGAACAATTACCTCGTGTGTCCCATTAGATGTGCACAATTAGAATAGATTAATGTGAATGAAAACATGCATGCAGCATATAGCGATATATTTAGAACGTACGTAGCACACCCACCAAATAAATGTGTCCAATAGTTTGTAAATATTTAGAACACATCCAGAAACATTATGTGACGAAGAGCATGTGAAACCAGCACATATTTCTAGGGACAAAAATCAAGAACTTTGGGCGTAGTACACATATTTTCATCTAGAAGACTTACACAATACTCCTTAGTGTTGTTGTCCGGGTATGTATACTCTCCAGTTACACAATACTCCTTAGTGTTGTTGTCCGGGTATGTATACTCTCCAGTGATCTTATCTACTGATGACGAGTGGGTACCCAAATATAGTTTCAACATTGTAGGTGTGCCACCATCCTCAATGATTTGACATTTCTACAATTAACCAAAAATATGTTGTATAATCGATAAAAACATTAATTATTATAAAATACGAATTTTAAATAGCATTAAGAAGCAAATTTAACAATCGAACCATAGCCCGACTTATGTTCCTCGAGCCACCTGTATAGGTTGCTCGACCATGCAAATTTGACGCCCGATTCTGCGCATTACGTCTTGCCTCTTCCTGCATGTTATTATCATATTTAGATTTGTAATCAAACAAAGGAAAAATTATAATTACCTAATAAACATTTGATTTGAGTTTAAAATATATACCTTCTTGTCCTCTGAATCATAATAAGCGCACAAATTAGCCCATAAGTCTCTATCAATCCAAGAAAACACTAGAGTAGTCCAAAGAGCCTCTTTTTCTGCTTCGGGAGTATTTTTCCACACCTCAAAACACTCTTGTTTTACCTGACACCTATTATATCCGACCCTCACTTGCAACTGAGACTTCATTCCTCGATAAACAATATTATGGGAGAGAGGCTGATTAGGATCCAGGGGGAGAAACTCATAATCCTTCTGAATATTCAATAAATGAATCACATGGTTAAAATAGATTGTACCTAATGATAACAAATTAATCGGATAAATCAAAATAAAATATATTTATACCTGACATCTTATAAAGAAATCGTCAAATGACCTATTATGTTCATCGTTCCATTCTAAATGGAGAGGATATTTGCAATACACACGACTCTCCACCCCCACATACTTTCCCCATTTCTCAGCATACTCACCAATGGGGCGGCCCCTATTATTGAGATACAGAGGTCATGCCTTCTCTCCCTTTTCAACATCAGGTTGTAGGTTATGTCTAGTATTGGAGCCTCGAGTGCGAATAGATGATTGTGACTGCACTGTATGTGATGAGACAAATAAGATATTAGATAATATTAAAAATAATAAATTATATAAATTAAAATGATATATTTATACAAACGACTACCTCCATCTCCCTGTCGCTCTCCACATCTCAGAGCATGATTAGGACGAAGATTAAAAGAGTGTTTTGGAACACATGCCGGTGCAGATGTAGATGCAGCTAGACAATAAAAACTATTTATGTAAGTTCAAACTGCATGTTCTGAACTACAGTTGAAGTATTTACCAAAAACAAACACTGAAATATATTGCAAGCATGAATATCCATGTTAACGGAATAGCACCCACTAGCGAAGCATAACCATCTGATACACACAGCTAAAGAGAATATTTTTACCTTGCTTTTCTTTTTTTCCCTTTTTTCATTTTTTTTCCTTTGGTGCATATTTGCGAGGGTATCAAAGGAGGGTATATATAGCACATGGAGTTGAGGTATTAGAAATTGTATTCATGTATACACTGAATACGCGCAGATACACACTGCTGTGTATCTACAGTAGATACACAGCAGTGTGTATCTACTGGAGATACACAGTAGTGTGTATCTGCTGCAGATACACAGTAGTGTGTATCTGCTGTGTATCTGCAGATACACAGTAGTGTATCTGCAGTGTGTATCTGTAGCAGTGTGTATCTGCTGCAGATACACAGCAGTGTGTATCTGCAGATACACAGCAGATACACATGCTATTAATTTCTCTTAGAGTTCTTTACGAATCAATCCGATTATCAAATGCATTGCCAATAAACTCTGCATAGTTAGTTAGCTAGTTAGCGTTTCTTCACACTGCAAGATGCTAATAATGTGTGATAGACTTGAGGAAAGTTTATGCATGATATCGATTACGTTCAGTTTTCAGGAAAATTTATGCATGATAACTGTGCTACACAAGCCACGTCCATTACTGTACAACTAAAGACATCATAATGAGCAATTAAGTATACACAAAGCAAACTAATTCATTTTTCTTAAATAAACATCTAAATTCAGCCTAATATTTTCTAATGCAAAATGCAATCCTCTCCTTCTCGCAATAAATAGATTGGATAACATAAGTTTATAAAGGGAGCAGGCAGATTATAGTAATTTATGCAAACATCGGTGCACATGTGTGGGTAAGATGATTACATGACAAAATTGGGATGCTAATATTACGTGAACTTGTAAAGAAGTCTTTCAAAATCATGTAAGAGATAGAATCATTATGTAAGCATTTCTTAGCAAAAAGCACATTAATCACCAAAAGATAATGAAGAAAGATACTGACTTGACGATTGTCCAGAAGGTATGGAGTGTGAAGGTGGGGTTGTCTATAAATCATTTTCTTGTGTAGGTGCTTGTTGATTTGCATCTATATCTGTGTAGGAGATAGATTGCAAATAAAAAAACATTGTTGCAACTGACTAGATTTTTATATGTAAAGGATAAAGATTAGGTGTCATGTTAAAACAGAATCAAAAGAAAAATAAATAGTTACCTCTAATTAGAGTAGACTCCCCAATGCTAGGTATGGCTGTAGCAACATGAGTAGATTCAAGTTCTCTCCTAGGCTATCTAACCTGACGTTGCCGGTTTCCATGCTGTGTATCTATAGCAAATTCAAGTTCTCTCCTACGCTCTCTCACCTGACGCTGCAGGTCTCCGCGCTGTAGTAGTCTACGTGATTTGCTCCGTGATGGAACTCCAGACATATTCGTCAAGCCCTATAAAAATTTTTACATTCCATATAAGATATATGTGAAATAGACATATTTATCAAGTTGAATATATAATTTTAAACAACATGCTTTTTATAAAGGTTACCTTTTTCGCTTTACAGAAATGTTAGGTTCTACAGATTCCCTAGAAGTTGTAGGAATATATACAAGTATTTCACTATTCAAATCATTCCTAACCCATGAAATTTTATCATATTCAGGAGATTTATCTTGATACAAGTATTTCACTATTCAAATCATTCCTAACCCATGAAATTTTATCATATTCAGGAGATTTATCTTGACATACAACCCCTCCCTGCTCAAATTCTTCGTCATCATTGACCTCTACGACCTCCGAATCTATGAACTGTGGGACATCGTAAGTATCCCTGGGCCTTCATCGACATACAACACTCCACCCCGAATGCCTCAAGAACTTCGAGTAGTATACTTGAAATGCTTGTTCTGGAAATATAAATGGATCATCCTCAAAGGAAAAACGTGTGGTGTTTACACTCATCAATCCATATTCATCTACCCAAGTCCCGTAATTGTCTCTCCACTTACCAGTTCCAGTCTTCATATCATACCAAACACATTGAAAGACATAAATACATCCTGCTCGACCTGGATAGTTGATACCAAGTATGTTATCAAGGTACCCATAGTATATCTCGTCATTAGTGCCTACGGTTGCAATTCCACTATTTTGGGTGGTTCGAGATTCTTCTATAGACTTGATTTCAAACTTGTAACCGCCAACACCAAATCCTTTATAGTATTTAACTTCAGCATCTGGAAGTGTAGCCAAAATATCCAAGATCCTTATCTAATATCGAGTCTACAGTCGGTAATCGGCTCTGGAAAAAAGGTCAATACAACAATTACATAAAGATGTTAGATTAAATTGAATGAATAAGTCAAAAAAATAAGAAAATAGAAATCTTACATAATGTTTAAACCAATTGCAAAAATTGTCTTGATGATGTGTTTCAACTCGTGCCTCATTCCAATTACTATGCATTGCACGTATTTCATCCTTGTGTATTCTAATGTCAAAAAATAGTAGGTAATGTGAGAAGTATATTTGGGTATAGTAAACATATATAGCATTATGTGAAATAGACATACTCTCTAACTTCTCCAAGGCATTCGATATTGAGAAGGATAAAGCGATGAATCTTGTTGATAAATGCGAGATTCATTCTATTATAATCTGGCTTTTTTGATGGTCCGTCATGAATCACAAGAGGTCTGTTGAGTTTTGTCTCGCTGTCTTCATCCAGATAATGGGAACAAAAAGTGGTTACTTCCTCTAGCAGATAACCTTCCATAATAGAACCCTCTGGTCGATTTCTATTGCTAATATAATTTTTTAGAGTGAGAAGGTACCTACAAAAGCTTACTCTAAATCACCACATCCAAGATGTAAAATAAAAATATATTGATTACGTTAACTATAAAACTAAAGGTACCTTTCGATGGGGTACATCCAACGATATTGTACTGGTCCGGCAAGCCTAGCCTCCATTGCAAGATGAACAGTCAGGTGTATAATGATATCAAAGAATGATGGAGGAAAAATCCGCTCAAGCTTGCACAAAATTAAGGGAATTTTAGCCTCTAGCTTCTTCAACTTTTCATCCTCGATGTTTTTAGCACATAATTCCTAAAAGAATCTGCAAAAATCGTTGATCACTAAACCGACTGATTTAGGGAGAGAGGTCCTGAGAGAGAGTGGAAGAAGATGCTCCATAATAATATGGTGATCATGACTCTTCAACCCTTCGATCTTGCCTTTAACAATCTTTATCTTCTTACTAAATGATTCTGAAAACCCTGTAGGAACCTTCAACTCATGTAACACCTGAAGAAACTTTTTCTTTTCATCTGGTGACATATGATATACAGCATTGGGGAGTACAAATTGGTCAGGATTGTCTACCTTCGGTATAGGATGCAACTCTTTTCTAATGTTCCATGCCTGCAGATCCCTTCGAGCTTTAAGGTTATCTTTTGATTTTCCATCTTTACAGAGAAGTAAGTTAAGTATGTGCTCAGATACTCCCTTCTCAATGTGCATGACGTCTAGATTGTTCCGCACTTTATTTGTCTTCCAGTAGGGTAGTTCGAAGAAGATACTTTTCTTATTCCATCCCTATGGTGTTTCTTGCCTTCCCTTTATATTTCCGAAAGTCACATTGTTTTTACCATTCCACTGAGCAAGTATATCCTCTCCGGATAATGGGTCTAGATGCGGGCGATTCTCTTTAGTACCATCAAAGTGGATGATATCATCTCTGTACGGATGATTTTCATCCAACATGCGCAGATAGCCGTAATAACAAGTCTTTTTGCTAAAGGGTAGTCTTCTCGATGTTGTCTGGAGATGACAGTAAGGACATGCAGTGTAACCATGTACAGACCAACCAGATAGCATTCCATACGCAGGAAAATCATTGATTGTCCACATTAAGGCTACACGCATGGTGAAGTTTGTCCCCGTGTCCGCATCGTATGTATTCACACCATCAATGAATAAAGACCTTAACTCTTCGATAAGAGGTCGAAGATAGACGTCAATATTGTTTCCCGGTGACTTTGGACCATCAATAAGAAGAGGCATCATGAAATATGATTGGTCCATAGCCAACCATGGTGAGAGATTATAAACCATCATCATAACAGGCCATGTGCTGTGGGGATTGCCCTTAAAGCTGAAGGGGCAAAAGCCATCACTTGCCAATCCCAGCCTGATATTA